GTGTCCTTAAAAGATTTCCCCAGGGGTGGGGAGGCAGGGGTAGGTCTCCCATATTCTCTACAATCCTGAGGCCTTTGTGTGAATACGCTGGTGTTCGACAAGGTGATGTCTCCGGATAAAGGATTTCCCACATTCAATGCACACATAAGGCCTTTCTCCTGTGTGCGTTCTTTGATGTCGAATGAGGGCTGAGCTACAGGGAAAAGATTTCCCGCATTCACTGCACTCATAAGGCTTTAATCCGGTGTGGACACTCTGATGATAACGCAGGCCTGTCCCGGTTGAAAAGGATTTCTCACATTCTCTACACTGAAAAGGCTTTTCTCCAGTGTGAACCCTCCAATGTTCGATGAGGTAAGAATTTGTCCTAAAGGATTTCCCACATTCAGTACACTCATATGGCCTTCTGTTTGTATGTACTCGCTGATGTTTATGGAGGGAGTAATTAGTGGTAAAAGATAATCCACATACACCGCACTCATAGGGCCTTTCTCCCGTGTGAATTCTCAGATGGGTCAGAAAGTAACATTTTTGGGTGAAGGATTTGCCACATTCGCTGCACTCGTAAGGCCTGTCTCCTGTATGAATTTTCTGATGATTTCTGAGGTTGAAACCAGAAGCAAAAAACTCCCCACATTCACTGCACTGATGTGGCCTTGCTCCTGTGTGAACTCTCTCGTGGGTAATAAGGTGATGCCTTTGGATAAAAGATTTCCCACAGTCACTGCACTTATAAGGTCTTTCTCCACTGTGCACTCTCCTGTGATTAGTAAGCTTGGAACCAGATGAAAAAGATTTCCCACATTCAGTGCACTGATAAGGCCTTACTCCAGTGTGAACTATTTGGTGTATATGAAGGTGTAGTTTTAGCATAAACGATTTCCCACATTCACTGCACTGATGAGGTCTTTCTTTTCTGTGTACTCTCTGATGCTGATTGAGGATGAAAACAGACGTAAAAGCATTCCCACATTCACTACACTCATAAGAATGTCTCCCACTATGAACTATCTGATGCTGAGTGAGGTAAGATTGTTGGCTGAAGGATTTCCAACATTCACTGCACTCGTAAGGCCTTTTTCCCGTGTGAACTCTCTGGTGTAGAATGAGTACGGAGCTACTGGTAAAGGACCGCCTACATTTACTGCACTGGAAAGGCCTTTCTCCTGTGTGCACTCTCCGGTGTAGAATAAGGACAGTTTTCCTGGTGAAAGATTTCCCACACTCATGGCACTCATGAGACTTTTCTCCAGTGTGAACTCTCCAATGTAGAATGAGGTAAAATTTTCTTCTAAAGGACTTCCCACACTGAGTGCACTCATAACGCCTTTCTCCAGAGTGAACTGTCCTTTTTCGCACCAGGATGGAGCTCCGGCTAAAAGATGGCGCACATTCACGGCACAACTGACATTTTTCCCCGGTGTGACTTCTCCAGGGATAAATGAGGACAGATTTTGGGTGCAAGAACTTCCCACAGTTGCCGCACTTGGACTGCCTTGGCCCGCAATGAAATCTCCGATGCTGAGTGAGGGTTGAGGCTCGCCTAAAAGACTGGCCACATTGGCCACACACGTGAAGGCTTTTACCTGTATGCGCTCTCTGGTGAACGGCGAATGAGGATTGATCTCTGAATGTTTTCCCACATTCACTGCGCACAGCATACTGTCTTCTGCTGTGGATCTCCGAGACCGGAGCATGGGTCTTTCTGGGGCTGATGGCTTTCTTACAGTCTCCCTGGGTAAAGTGACGTTTTCCGGTTTTGTTGGGCTCCTCTCTGGTGTGAGTCGTCTGCTGCTGGAGATGTTCTGAGGTGGCCAGGAAGCCCTTCCCAACTTTATCCCAGGGAAAAGGCTTCTCTGAAACATGAAGTTTATACCTCTCCACCAACAGGACCCTGTCTCCACCACTTCTGAAGGCCTTCTTTGCCAGGTGCTGCTTCTGGTGATTTTGAAAGTTTGCGCCCAAATAAAATTGTCTCAGACCCAGCCTACACCTGACCGTGTTCTGGATGTGTGGGGTTCCTTGGTGCTCAGCCAACTGGAATATGTCTCTCAAGACTGGACCACAGCTCTCACAGGGGTGGGTTGTCAGGGAATTCAGAGCTGCCGTGGAGGGGCTGGACGGTGACACTCCTGCACAAACACTCTGTTCACAGGGCGCTCCACAGCAGGGGCCTGGATGTAAATAAATGCTAATGAAGTACATGTTGACTATAAGAATAGGGCAATGCAGGGCTGTGGGATTGGCTAGGGAGAGGTCAAGTTGGGGGAGGAGGGGAGATATAATACTTTAAACAATAAAGAATTGAAATTTAGGCCTAACTGGTTTGGCTCAGTGCATAGAGCATCGGCTTGTGGATTGAAGGGTCCCAGGTTCGATTCCGGTCAAGGGCATGTACCTTGGTTGTGAGCACATCCCTGGTAGGGGGTGTGCGGGAGGCAGCTGTTGGATGTTTCTGTCTCATTGATGTTTCTAGCTCTCTATCCCTTCCTCTCTGTAAAAAATCAATAAAATATATTTTAAAAATAAATAAAAATAAAAGGATATCTGGCTCCCACCGGAAAGAAATGAAAATGAAAAATAAAAATAAAAAAGGAGAAAAAAAAATACCCCGCCATATGCAACAACTTGAATGAACTTGGAGGGCATTATGCTACATAACATAAGCCAGTCATGGGAAGATAAATACTGGTGTCTCTGGCCAGGGTTGCTCAATGGTTACAGCATCGACCTGTGCACCATAAGGTCTTGGGTTTGATTCCTGGTCAAGGGCAGGTACCTGATTTACAGGTTTGATTCCTGGTGTGGACAGGGCGTGAGTGTGAGAGGTAACCAATTGATGTGACTATTTCACATTGATCCCCCCCCCTTTCTTCCACTATCAATAAATCAACAGAAATATTCACTGGTAAGGATTACAAATATATGTGTGTGTGTGTGTGTATGCGCGCGCGCGTGCGTGCCATGCACACGCACACACTGTATGATATCACTTAGATGTACAATAGAATCTGAAAAAAAGTTGAGCTCAAAGAGTCGAATGTCAGGGCCATGAGAAGGGAGAAATGAGGAGTTATTGATGAAAAGGCACAAAACTTCAGTTATAAGTTCTGAGGATCTAATGTAAAACATGGTGACTATAGTTAATGATCTGTATTTTACATTAAGATGTTACTGGGTGAGGGTATCTTAAGTGCTATTACCAAACAAACAAAAGTGATTCAATTGATACAAGTGTTCATCAACTTCACTATGGCAATTATTTCAGTACAGACACACACACACACACACACACACACACACACACACACAGGTCAGGTGCATAAAATTTGTGCATGGGGGGGTTGGGTTGTCCCTCCGCCCAGCCTGCACCCTCTCCAATCTGGGAATCCCTTGAGGGATATCCAACTGCCCGGTAAGATTGGGCCAAAACGGGCAGTCGAACATCCCTCTCACAATCCAGGAATGCTGGCTCCCAACTGCTTGCCCGCCTGCCTTCCTCATTGCCCCTAACTGCTTCTGCCTGCCAGCCTGATCACCCCCTAACCACTCCCCTGCCAGTCTGATTGATGTCTAACTGCTCCCCTGCCAGCCCCATCTGCCCCAACTTCCCTCCTGTGCTGGCCTGGTCACCCCTAACTGGCCTCCCCTGCAGGATTGATCACCTCCAACTGCTCTCCCTTGCAGGCCTGGTCCCTCCCAACTGCCCTCCCCTGCTGGCCATCTTGTGGTGGCAATCTGTGTCCACATAGGGGCAGGATCTTTGACCACATGAGGGCAGCCACCTTGTGTGTAGGAGTGATGGTCAATCTGCATATTACTTTTTTATTAGATAGGATAGAGGCCTGGTGCACAGGTGGGAGCCAGCTGGTTTGCCCTGAAGGGTGTTCCAGATCAGGGTAGGCGTTCCCTTGGGGCAACGGGCGGCCTGAGCAAGGTGCCTGTGGTGGTTTGCAGGCCAGCCATGCTCCCCAGAGACCCAAGTTAAGGCCCTGGTATCTGGGAATTATTTACCTTCTACAATTGAAACTTGATGGTTGACAAAGAGCTGAGCCAAGCCTCCTGCTCACTCCATGGCCAGCAGCCATTTCTGTTTGGATTTGTTTACCTTCTATGATAGAAACTTTGTAGCCTTGATTGGAGGCTTAGGCCAGCTATGGGAGGTGGAAAGCTTGGCTTCTTCCATTGCTTGGGAAACCCAAACCTCCCTCCTGCTCTCTATGGCTGTAGCCATTTTGGTTGGGTTAATTAGCATACTCGTCTTTATTGGCTGGTGGGTGAAGCTTGTTGGCATAGCAAAGGTGCGGTCAATTTGCATGTTTCTCTCTCTCTTTTCTTTTCTTTTCTTTTTTTTTATTTCTCTTTTATTAGGTAGGATATATCACATCCCCACATTGTACAATTTAAATATATACCATTTTACACATCAGCAACACTGGAACAAAAACAAATAAACAACAAAAAAAGAACTAGCCCTAACCAGTTTGGCTCAGTGGATAGAGCGTCAGCCTGTGGACTGAAGGGTTCCGGGTTTGATTCCTTGGTTGCCGGAACATCTCCAGAAGGGGGTGTGGAGGAGGCAGCTGATTGATGTTTCTCTCTTGTTGATGATTCTAACTCTCTATCCCTCTCCCTTCTTCTGTGTAAAAATGTGTGTGTGTGTGTGTGTGTGTGTGTATACACATATATATATACATATATATTTATTTTATTTTATTTTATTTTATTTTTTTTAAATATTAAAACAACAAAAGATCTTGGATCATGATACAGGGTCCAGGCCAGGGAGTGGGAAAGCATGGTGGACGGCATAAGGCTCACAGCATCCCCTCCCTATGAGGAGTCAGTGCAGCAGGCAGTGGAGCTGCAGCAGAGAGAAGAGGGCAGGGCCTAGGGCCCACAGGGGAGCATGTGGGGTCCACAGAGCAGCCTCTGGGGAAAGGAGGGGGAGGCTGGGCAGAACCTAGTCCAAGTCCCCAGTGAGAGGGTGAGAGTCTTACCCAGAGAGGAGGCAAGGGCCAAGTTCTCCAGCATCACATGGTGGTACAGGCCTCTCTGAGCCTCATCGAGGAGCCTCCACTCCTCCCGGGAGAAGTACACGGCCACGTCATCAAAGGTCACACGGTCCTGGCGAGATGGGGACAGAGGAAACCATACATTTTTGTATTATGCTCAGTACACCAGGGGTGAACCTGTGGAGGTGGGGGCAGGGGCGTGTGAAAGATTCAATAAGACAGACAAGAGAATAAAGCTGGGGCTAGGTGAGACACTGCCCTCTGATGGAGAGACAGTGCCACAACCTGCAAGCTGAGTCTTTATTTTATAGCCAGATTCCACCAGGCAAAGGAAGGGCGTGGTCAAGATGTTTACAATGTTCTCCCAGGGTTCCAGTCTACTCAATTCCATGCACTAGAACTCCATCCAGCTTTGCTGTGGCAGTCCACCTCACTCAGCCACCTGGGACCCCAGGTTCGGACCTTAAGGTCAAGCTGACAGCCAACAGCCTTTGGCTATAGTTGTGCTGGGAGTAGCTTTGCCCTCTGAGCCAGGACCTTATCGTGGCTTTGCCACGATAGGACAGTGCCCTCTCATTAGTCCGAGGCTTGAACCTGTCCAAACGCTGTAGCCGCTCTCCACACACTTTGTTGTTCTTTTAAAAAAATTTTTTTTTTTTTTTACGGAGAGGTAGGGAGAGGGATAGAGTTAGAAACATTGATCAGCTGCCTCCTGTATGCCCCCCACTGGGGATGTGCCCACAACCTAGGTACATGCCCTTGACCGGAATCCAACTCGGGACCCTTCAGTCCGCAGGCTGATGCTCTAACCATTGAGGCAAACTGGTTAAGACGCTATTATTATTTTTAAAAGATATTTTTATTTCAGAGATGATGGGAGGAGAGAGATTCAACGATTGGCTGCCTCCTGCACACACCGCACTGGGGATTGAGCTAGCAAAACAGGCAGGTGCCCGTGACCAGCATCCAACTGGGGACCCTTCAGTCCGCAGGCTGATGCTCTACCCACTGAGCCATACAGGTTTTCGCACACTTTGTCTTTCTGAGACCCTCCCAGCCCATTCCCTCACACACCCGCCCACGGCTCCTCCAGGGGGACCTCCCTCCCAGGAGACACCAGGCCCCGGATGGCTTCACTTGACCCTCAGGCGCCAGAAGGGCGCTGGGATTTGGGGCGCGAACCCTCCCCTCCCCCCCCTCCCCACTTTCCACCGGGCTCGGACCTGCTGGCGCCTCAGGAGCCCCAGCCCCCCTCTCTGCTCTCGGCCTTCCTCTCGGCCCCGGGGCCTGGGCTGCAGGAGGGGCAGCGGGGTCGGGTCAGGGAGGCGAGGAGGCCCCGGGGACAAGCTCACCTCAGCCCGGCGCCCGGGCGCGGCCGCCGCCATCCTGCTCCGCGGGCGGGGCGGGCCGAGGGGCGGCGGGCCAAGAGGGGGGTCCCGTAGGGTCCCCGAGTCTCACACCCGCGTCCGAGCGGCGCGGACCACGACCCCTCTCTTGCCTTTTCCAGTCCCTGTCACCCTGGACCCAGCGAACCCTGCGCGCGACCTGATAAAAAATGCACTAGCCCCGCCCCCCTGGAGACGTCACACGGAGAGCATCCCATTCTGGTTTGTCATTGGCTCAACCTGGCGCACGGGATTCTGGGTAATGTAGTCCCAAGCGTTCCGGGGCTTGCGAAAACGTTCTCCAGGCTGGCCTGCGAGGTTTGAGACTGGACAAGCCTGTAAAAGTAGTGTTTCTATTATTATAATTATTTTTATTTTTTCTATTTTTAAAAATATATTTTATTATTTTTTTTTACAGAGAGGAAGGAAGAGGGATAGAGTTAGAAACATCAATGAGAGAGAGACATTGATCAGTTGGCTCCTACACACCTACTGGGGAGGTGCCCCTAACCAAGGTACATGCGCTTGACCGGAATCGAACCTGGGACCTTTCAGACCGCAGGCCTACACTCTATCCACTGACCCAAACCGGTTTCGGCTAATATAATTATTTTTAAAATATTCTTTCTTTCTTTCTTTCTTTTACAGAGAGGAAGGGAGAAGGAGAGAGAGTTAGAAACATGGATGAGAGAGAAACATGGATAACCTGCCTCCTGCACACCCCCTACTGGGGATGTGCCTGCAAGCAAGGTACATGCCCTTGCCCTGACCAGTTTGGCTCAGTGGATAAAGCACAGACCTGAGGAGTCAAGGGTGCCCGGTTCAAGCCTGGTTGTGGGCACATCCCCAGTGACGGGTGTGCAAGAGGCAGCTGATGGATGTTTCTCATCGATGTTTCTATCCCTTTCTCTTCCAATCTGTAAAAAAATCAATAAAATATATTTTTAAAAACCAGATGGTATTGGACGTTCCTGACATCACCATGACCATGCACAAAGCCCCTCTCAGGAGTTGGGAACACCATATTTGCAGGCTTCTCCCTAGTAGGAATTCCTCCTCCTAAGGCCCCAATGGGTGATTTCTCCAGGCCGCCTCCAGAGCCTGGGAACTACATTTCCCAGAAGGCGCAGCGCGCACAGCAGCCAATGAGAGAGCAGCAGGCTGTTGCCGGGTCCTCGCCAAGGCGATGTTTCCAGCTTCACTCCGGAGCGAGGTGACGGGACCGGGAAGGCGCGAGGGAGGCGGGGTCTCCGCCGCGCAGACGCGGGTCGGAAGCTCACGACTGTGACGCTCGGCGGCCCCGCGAGGGACCGGCTTCCTGCGGGACGGGGCCCCTCCTCGCCCCCCGACCGCTGCGCCCCGAGAGCGCGATGGCGGCGGCCGCCCCGGGGCGCCGGGCTGAGGTGAGCGCGTCCCCAGGGCCTCGCGTCCGTGAGGGGGCGGAGGGCTGAGGGGCGGGTCGGCGCCCGGTGGAAGGGTTCTGGGTGTCTGAGGGGGAAGGGGGTGGGGCGCAGAGAGGACTTCCGGGGCTCCCTCCAGACCGCTCCGGGCGGAGGGCCCCTCAGGGCGGGGGGCGTGGCTGACGGTGCGGAACCTGTCACTCCCGGCCTGAGGGAGGGGTGTGTGTGACGGACCCGGGGGAGGGGTGTGTGTGAGGGACCCGGGGGAGGGGTGTGTGTGAGGGACCCGGGGAAGGTGGGAGGGGTGTGTGTGACGGACCTGGGGAGAAAGGGGAGGGGTGTGTGTGAGGGACCCGGGGGAGGGGGGAGGGGTGTGTGTGATGGACCCGGGGGAGGGCGGAGGGGTGTGTGTGACGGACCTGGGGAGAAAGGGGAGGGGTGTGTGTGACGGACCCGGGGGAGGGCGGAGGGGTGTGTGTGACGGACCCGGGGGAGGGGGGAGGGGTGTGTGTGACTGACCTGGGGAGAAAGGGGAGGGGTGTGTGTGACGGACCGGGGGGAGGGCGGAGGGGTGTGTGTGACGGACCTGGGGAGAAAGGGGAGGGGTGTGTGTGACGGACCCGGGTGAGGGCGGAGGGGTGTGTGTGACGGACCCGGGGAATGGGGGAGGGGTGTGTGTGACCGACCGGGGGGGGGGGGAGGGGTGTGTGTGACGGACCGGGGGAGGGGGGAGGGGTGTGTGTGAGGGACCCGGGGGTGGGGGGAGGGGTGTGTGTGACCGACCGGGGGGGGGGGGGGGGGAGGAGTGTGTGTGACGGACCCGGGTGAGGGCGGAGGGGTGTGTGTGACGGACCCGGGGAAGGGGGGAGGGGTGTGTGTGACGGACCCGGGGGAGGGCGGAGGGGTGTGTGTGACGGACCTGGGGAGAGAGGGGAGGGGTGTGTGTGACGGACCCGGGGGAGGGCGGAGGGGTGTGTGTGACGGACCTGGGGAGAGAGGGGAGGGGTGTGTGTTACGGTGGAGGGGGGAAAAGTGTATGTGATTTGGGACAGGGAGGCAGCAGGGCTGGGAGTGGGACAGGGATGGGGTGATAGGGAGGCAGCAGGTGCAGAATGGGGTGCCCGTGAGGAGGTGGTGTGAGCTGATGGCACCCAGGCCCTGGTGTGGGACCAGGTGAAGGGGCCCTGTCTGGCTATGTGGGGCAGGGAGCTGCTTTGCAGGCGGGAGGGGCCCCAGGCTTGGCTCTCAGCTCTGATGGCATCTGCGTGTCCCCACTGCCCTTGCTGAGGGTTACACACAGTCACTAAGGCCTGGCCGGTGGGGCTCAGGGGTTGGGCTTTGACCTATGAACCAGGAGGTGAAGGTTCGATTCCTGGTCAGGGCACATGTTCATGGTGCAGGCTCCAACCCTGGTAGGGTAGTGCAGGCAGGAGGCAGCCAAGCCATGATTCTCTCTCATCATGGGTGTCTCTATACGACTCCCTTTCCCTTCCTCTCTGAAATCAATAATATATATTTTAAAAATAAAAATTAACACAGTCACTATAGAACCCTAGTAAGTGAGCAGACATCAGGGTCCCTTAAGGCCTGGTGTCGCCTGGGAGGGAGACCGCACTGGAGGAGGAGGAGCTGTGGGGAGTTGTGTGAGGGGGTGGGCTGGAAGGGTCTCAGAAAGACAATGTGTATGGTGTCTTCCATCCCCATCTCATCAGGACCGTGTGACCTTTGACGACGTGGCTGTGTACTTCTCCCAGGAGGAGTGGGCCCTCCTCAATGAGGGTCAGAGAGGCCTGTACCACGATGTGATGCTGGAGAACTTGGCCCTTGTATCCTCTCTGGGTAAGACCCTATAAAGATTTATTTACCGAAACCGGTTTGGCTCAATGGATATAGCATCGGCTTGGGGACTGAAGAGTCCCGGGTTCGATTCCGGTCAAGGGCATGTACCTTGGTTGCTGGCATATCCCCAGTAGGGGGTGTGCAAGAGGCAGCTGATTGATGACTCTCTCTCATCGATGTTTCTAACTCTGTATCTCTCTCCCTTTCTAACTCTATCTCTCTCCCTTCCTGTACAAAATCAATAAGATATATTAAAAAAAAAAAAAAAAAAATTTTTTAAAAACAAAACAAAGAAACCAAAAAAAAATTTTTTTTTTCTGGAGAATACTATGGTTAATCTGAAAGGGATTTTTTTTTTTTTTTTAAATCACCTGAAGGTATTTTTCCATTGATTTTTAGATGGAGTGGAAAAGAGAGAAAGACACAGAGAGAAACACATGGATTGTTTGCCTCCTGCATGTGTCAACCAGGGCTCAGCCTGGGGAGGA